TAAGAGAGAGAGAGAGAGAGAGAGAGAGAGAGAGAGAGAGAGAAGAGAGAGAAGAGAGAGAGAGGGAGTTCCCAGAACACAGTTTAAAGTGGAGAACTATGTCAAATGCTAATTATAGAAATTAGAGCCTGGCTGGGGTGAGAGTGGAAAAGTTGAGAAGGAAATAGTGTGTTTGTTTGTTTTGGGGGTAGGGGAGGGGTTTTGATGGTATTGATTAAGCAAAAGACTGTCTGCTGAACGAGGTACCTCTTACTTTGTAAAAAAATAAACTTTTCTTACTAAGCGGTTTTTCGTCATTGCAGGGCTTGAGTCTTGGACAAGTAAAGTAACTCACGGAAGTAAACGGTGAATAGAACACCAAACGCAACCTTGTGTGGCTTAAAATTGAATAGGGAATAAAGATTAGAGCTTTCCTGACGATATATGTACTGACACTAAAATGAGACAGGTTGAATGATAACTGTTACTGATGAAATACTTCAAATAATATATTCTGCACTGGACACTTGTCCTTCCCTTGTAAGACACAGAGGCCAATTGACAATTAGAAGCCGTCTTTGGGCTCTGTTGGCAAAAGCTGAATGGGCCGGGGAGGCTGTCGTCAGCACTGAGCGCGGGTGTTTGGTAAAGACTCGAGTAGATAAGTTTCACATTTTGACAGGTGGCGATTCACGTAAAAGTTACGAGCTGGCGTGAAAACAAAGATGAAGGTACAAGTTTCTGTAGTGCTACAGCACTTTAATGGACACCTTTCGTCTCCTTGACCGCCTTCAAAACTGCAAAGTGCTTCTTAAAAGTTGATAAATCATATGCCTGGATTTACTTGAAACTGAAGAAAGAGTGTAATCAGCAATTAACCTCTTGTTCACTATGCAGCCTACACCTCTCCCCCCAAAAAAACAAAACAAAAAACAAAACAACAACAAACAAACAGCGACGCTGCCGATCTTGTCCAGGGAAAGAACCGCCCTTTCCTATTTCATTTGCTATGACACCCATACACCGTACAGGGGGCACCAGGCTCTCTGTAAAGACGTTTTTACAGAGAATATCATTTTTTTTCGAGAGGCAGAGGAGAGGAGGCGAGGGTGAGTAGATGAGAGTGGGGAAGATGGGGGGGACAATACGTCTTCCTTGAGGAAGGAGCTTGAAACAGGAAGATAAGGTGATAAATGAACTTTGAAGAGGGCTCGGGATAGGGGCGATAACCGCAGGGAAAATAGCACGACTTGAGGCAAATGAAATGTTGGGAGATGGGAAGAGAGAGGGAGTGAGAGAGGGAGAGAGAGAGGCAGTGGGAAAGAGAGCAAGAGAGAGAGAGAGAGGGGGGGCGGGGAGAGAAGAGGAGAGAAAA